CTGATGAGCATAGCTGGGGCCAGGGGCACTAGGGCTGGTAGCACCATTGGCAGTTTCCTTGTTACTCAGGACCATGAGGCCTGAGCAGGCAGATTTCGCTTCTCTTCCCTTTCACCCTCTGGCCCCTCCGCCTGGCAGGCCTAAGTCAATGGGAGCATCTGAACACACAGCCCTGTCTGGGTGGAAGGTCACAGACACAGTGTCTGCAATGAAGCCAGCTGGACGTCTGACTCTTGGGTTCTGACCATGTGCTTCTGAGCTGGCCACAGAAGGGGAGTCTCTTTGAGAGTCACAGCAGAAGAGAGACAGCGAGAGTGAGTGGGGAAACTGTAGACACACGCAGGGCTTCTCACTAGACACAGGGTGGATTCCAAACTATAAGACTCAAACCAGGAAAGCAGACCCCATTTTCCCGTGGTAGCAGAGGCAGGGGAAGGAGTACGGAGGAACACTGATGAAATTCACAGAGCCCCGGCAACAGGAGACAGCTGCCTGCTGCTGGGTGTGGCCGGGCAGGTCTCAGACCTCACTCAGGGTGTGCCTGTCTTCCACTTTACAAAGCCTCAACTAAAAGCCAGCACCTTCACTCTGCTATCCCAAGAGGAATTGACAAGCACACCAGGCCTTGTTCGAGGAGCCAGTGGTCCACACTCGGTCAGTACCCTGGGCAGAGTCCCTGTGGTCCATCTGGGATTCTGACCCCTCTTTTCTCATAGTCTGGCTTCTGCCTTCCTTTCACACCACTCCCTGGATCAAAGGTCTAAAAGAAAACCCCACAATCCCTACCAACTTCAGACCTTTCCTGCTCTTACATCATCTACCAGCCCCTGGGCTAGGGCCCAAACCAGTGAGCTCAGAATGTTTGTTGCCTGCAGAAAACCTCAAGGCAAAGGTATAGCTCAGCATGCCCTAAGCTAGACTAAAAAAGAAGTGTGTGTGTGTGTGTGTGTGTGTGTGTGTGTGTGTGTGTGTGTGTCTGTGTCTGTGTCGGGGGGGGGGGGGAGGTCTGTTTACTAGCTTCAATTTAGCAAAAACTAGAATTATGTATTTACATACCGAGTCCCATGATAAGTCATCTGGGATCTCCCCAAGAAGGAAGGCTGCTTGTGGTTACAGATGGTGAGTCAACGAAACACCCCTCCGAACCAATGAGGTCAGCTTTTTGGGAAGGAACAAAAGAAGCTGTAACAAGTGAGTGGCTACTTCAGGCATTGAGCAGTGGTCCCAGAAAGACCACTGCTGAAGTCTCTGACCCAGAGTTGTCCAGCACAGGACAATCTGTCTCGTCAGGGGCTTTGGCAATGTCTGAAAATATATACGTGCTTGCTGCACTGGGTAGAGGCTGGAGATGTTCAGCATCCTAGCATGCGGGACAGTCCCCCACAAACAAGGACTACATTCTAAATGTCAACAGCCCTGTGGTAGAGAAACCGCTCTGATCCTCTGAAAACCCCTTACCTTCTGTAGAATTCACCTATAGTTACTCATGTGACCCTCAGCTTGGAGGGTTCTTGGTGGTAAGAGCTCCTCCCTGTAGCCAGGGCCAATGCCATGGGCTCAGTGTCTCTGGAAGGGAACAGACCCCAGCCTGGGGTGATTTGCCAGGCCAGCTTATCTCCTACCACCCAACTCCGAGGATCCCATGGTTCTCACCACCACCACACTAACTTCCCAGGTGACCAGGAGCACTCACATTCTTTGTCTTAAGGAAGAGACGTGTGCATTTCATCTCACTCCATCAATTTTTCTGCTCTTCTGACCGGCACAGTGGCTACCCTGTCAAGGGTAGGAAACCGTGCCTGCTTTCACAGCCGTTAGAGACAGTGCATGGAAGAAAACAGAGTTGCGCACTCTCCAGGACCTGCAGGGCAATCTGTGGCAGGGCTGGGAGGAGACACTGGTGCTTAGAGTCATACCAGCTTAGAGAGTTCTCAAAGCACAGACCTGGGCAGAGACAACAACAGTCTGTCTGTGGACCTGGAGCAGATGGAGCTCCTAAGTGTCTGTAGCAGACCCTTGCTATGGGGCCTAGCTCTCAACTGGGATACAAAAGACTTACTGAGACTGAGGTTTAGAAACCCAAGATGCACATCATGCTTCCTGGAGGTCTGCCTAGGTTGCCAAAGGTTCAGCAAAGATACACAAAAACTAGACCTATGGATAGGAAGGACAGACATCCAGGATAGATAGTGGCTTTGGGCACTTGGGGCCGAAGAGCCAAAATGGACACAGCCCATGCCCTTCATTTACAAAGGAATTATTTGGTTTTTGTTTTGTTTTGCTGTCTCATGTAGCCCAGGCTGGCCTCGCCCTCTAATTTACTATGCAGCTGAGAATGACCTTGAACTTCTAATCTTCCTGCCTGTGCCTCTTGGGATTACAGTGTGCACCGTCATGCCTGGTTTTATGCAAATACTCTACCAACTACACTACACCGCCCCACAAGCCTCAGCTGATTTTTTTTTTACTAGTAATGTAATTGATTCTATAATTTTCACAAAATATCAGAAGGGGAGGGGGCTGGAGAGATGGCTCAGTGGTTAAGAGAACCTGCTGCTCTTCTAGATGACTTAGGTTTGATTTCCAGCACCCACATGGAGACTTAAACTGTCTGTAACTCTAAGTACCTCCAGTGTCCCCTTCTGGTCTTCATGGACACTGCATGTAGATGGGGGCACAGACATACATGTAGGCAGAGCACCCCCCCCCCAATAGAAATAAAATAACAAGGTTCTTCCATCCTGGGTATTGGGCTTCCATTGCTTAGGAAAATCCCCACGAGTGTTTTAGCTGAGAAAACACGCATTGTGGATCCTGGTCCTTGGATCCTAGGAAACTGCCCCTAAATGGGACTCTTAGAGGACCAAAGGGCAGAAGGGATTAGAAACAGCGCCCGGGGCAGAGCAGTCCCTTATCTATAGCTAGAGTCAGCCACTACCTACAGGAGCCTGAGCCCATACTCCACAGATGCCACCTGGGAGAGGGGGACGCCGGTCACTCAGCATCCCCACACCCCCTGCAAGCAAATGGCCTGCCACCACTGCCTGTCCCCTCAGATCAAGAACTTTCAGCAGGAGGAGGTCTGAGGGGGGAAAACCCAGCTCTCCACCAAGCCCCAGCAGCAGGCCCTGAAGTTCCTTTTTGGGGTGCAGGCAAATCAGGGAGGCCTTAGCTCCCAAGGCAAGGAGGCAGGAGTTAAGACTCAGGAACTAGATGAGCCACTTCCTAGTCGGTTAAGCCGAGGTGCTGGCACACAGGGAAGCTTGTGAAGTCTTTCTAGATCTCTCCTGCTCACCTCTAAGGTTGGTGACAAGGAAAGTAACACACCGCTACCAGGCTCTGCCCTCCAGGCCCTTGAGAGCTTGGCACCTCCTTGCCCCCCAGTCTGCTCTCACAACACAGGAAGATGGATTCCCTGGCCCACCCTTATTGACAATTGTCATACTTGCTGCCGTGTTCCGAACCCAACATCTGCCTCTCTACCCATGCTCTCACCCCAATTGCAGACTTCATGCTTGCCAATGATTTTGCTACTCAGGGAGACATCAGGGGAGTTCAGGCAGCCCTCCCCTGCTCAGTTACCCACAACCAGTGTGGGTAAATATGCAGATATCCTCACAGTTGTCCACCCGCCCAGGAACTCAGAGGCAGGGTCAGAGCTGGGAGGCTGATCCATGGGGCAGCTCTGTGAACGCTCTGTCAATATGAAGGGCTTTTACTCCCCCTAACATCAATAGTAAATCAAGAAACACAGTGGTATGGGCATAGAGCAAAGGACCTAGGTTTGATTCCCAGCACCCACATGGCAGCTTACAACCATCTGCAACTCTAGTCTCGGTAGATCTGACTCCCTCTTCTGGCTCCCACAGGAACTGCATGCACATGGTACACAGCCATACAGGCAGGTAAAACATCCATATTCAGAAAACAACAACAAAACAAAACCAAACCAAATAAACCGAACAACAACAAATCATTCCCATAGACCCTGGAGCCTGTGTAGGTGAATCTTTAGGGTCTAAAGCTAGGCTCTCGGAATGGCTGTCTTGAATCAATGAGAGCCAATCCAGTAACAAGTGTCCTCGTGGACAGGCAGATTGAGACAGATGTAAGGCAGGCACAGGACTAGCTGAAGAGATACATCTATGAACCAGACAAGACCCTTCCCCTGGGACTACAGGGGGAGCAGACTTCAGGCTTCCAGAACTGTGAGAGAACAAATTTCTCCTGTTTTAACAGTCAGGTTTGTGGCTATTTGTCTGAACACACCCCCTGAAGCCAGGAGCATGTTCATTCGACAATTGCAGTTGCAGAGGAGTGGGGTGTGAGGCAGGGAGAGTCTCTGGTCAGCCAATTTCCTGTCCCTGCCTTTCCTCAGAATGTGACCACCACCACAGAGTATTCTGTTATCAGTATTCTTCTTGGACAAACACACCCCACTCTTCCCAACTCTGTAGTAGCTAAAACTCAGCTGTGAGCAAATAATACACTTCCCACTAAACGCAACCGAGGAATGAGGGACGTCTGTGTTCAGCTAAGCCCGCCTCTTACTCTGACATTGCAGACGAGCTCTATGGCACTGGACCACACTTCACACTCAGTACCAACCCAGCTAGGAAGTGCTGACCCTCAGTGACTCCGGCAGCCACAGAAGTGGCGGCTGAAATGACATTCACTTTTGAGACCCAGGAACGAGACAAATGAAAAGGTGAAATCAATGGAAGCTATGAAGGTATTTCAGAACACATGTGGATATGTGTAAAAAGCTCTGTGGCCCAAGGGCGGGCCTTCAGGCTGTCGACCACACCATAGCCCAGTGGCTCATGTTCAGTCTGGCTTAGGGAGAAGAGGTGATTTTGTGTTTAACCTAATAGAATTTTTTTGTTTTGTTTTTGTTTTGCTTTTTGGAGATAGGATCTCAAGTAGCCCAAACTAAATATAAAGTTGGCCTAAAACTCAATATATAGCCAAGGATGACCTTGAATTCTTTTTCTTTTTTATTAAATAAGGAACACTTCATGAATTTGGGCGGCATCCTTGTTCAAGGGCCACACTAATCTTCTCTGTATGGTTCCAATTTTAGTGTGTGTGCTGCCGAATTCTGATCCTCCCATTTCCCTCTCCTCATCCTGAGACTACAAGTGTGTGCCACCACGCCTGGCTTGTCCGTGGTGCTGGGGACTGAGCCGAGGGCCTGCTCATACTAGGCAAGCACTCTACAAACGTAGCTCCACCCTTCACCTCCTTTTTGGTGATAGTCTTCATATTCTGTAGCCCAGGCTGGCTTGAATTTATTATGTAGTCTAGGCTGACCTTGAACTTGTAGCAATTCCCCTGCTCAAACCACCCAATTGCTCAGATTATAGGCATGGGCCATCACACCCAAACTGTTTAGGACACCAGGGACACTTCAATAACAGCTCCACTTCCTGCTCTGCCTCCCTGCAGAGTTACAGAGCCCTCAGCGTTGAGCTACATCTGTATTCATGACGACTACTCCCTTTGCCTGGCTCTCCCTGAGGTACACGCCGGGGTAATCCCCACAAGGAATAAAAACCACCCGTGACATTTTGGCAGGGGGACCCCATCCTCCTCCCTGTTGGCTCCGCCCTGGATGCGGTGGCGACACGGCCATGCTATGGCAGCCTCCGGCACAATACTGACACACAACACACAAAACCGTAACACACCAGACGTCTGATTCCCTTCTAACCCACAGAACATGGCACAGAAGGTAGGTGCCACCCCACGCTGCCCCAGCATATATGACTCTTTCTTTGGGGCTGGAGATAGAGCTCAGTGGTAGAGGCCTTGTCAAGTATGTACAAGGCCTTGACCCCCAGCACTGCCAAGATAAAACTGTGACAGCCTCTTGCTGGGCATGGTGGTGAACGCCTGTGACTTCAACACTCAGGAGTCTGAAGCAGCAGGCTTGAATCTGAGTTTAGCAAGTCCCTGTCTCAAAACCAGCTGCCTCCCTTGCTGCTGACACTAAAGACCTTCTCTTTGTCCACTTTAAAGAAACGGGGGCGGACTTTGAGCCGGAAGGGGCTCCGTGAGGTCAGAGGCCTCCAGGAGCTGGAGAAAGCCATGGTTGGCAGCCGGAGTGAACCCAGTGGCTTCAACACAACAGAACACACGAATTCGCCAAACAGCTGAATGACCTTGAAAGCCCTTCCCCAGGTGAGTCTGAGTCACTAGATAAGACCTTGATGACAGCCCTGAGCAGAACCTAGCGAAGCTGTGCCAGGACTCCTGACCAAGAGGAGGGAGGTGACAAGAAGTGTCTTCAAAGCCACTGAATTTGTGATGATCTGATAAACAGCAACAGAAAACTATCACAACCACCATGATGACAAGATGGTGATGATGGTCCCCACCAATCATGTGGCCAGAGGTTCTAGGTACCTTCACACCCATCAGTTCCTTCACTGAATCACAGGACACAAAGCCACGCCAGCTCTACGACCACACTTATTCCTGATGATGTAACCTGCCTACGTCTCAGTGTCCTCACACATTCAAAACAGGGACACGTTAGGGACTTCAGAACATCACTCCTGCTTTAAGAAAGGTAATATCTGCAACATGCTTGACGGTGCCTGCGTTAAGGAGCTCAGTACACGCTTGCCCTTCATATATTACATCACCTCCTGTCAACCTGACCACATTCTAAAGTTTGTGAGGCACACACACAATGTCTTGCCTTTTGTGAACCTGGAGCACAAAGCCTTCGATGTGGGTGGACAGGGTATTTGGGAGTGAGTAACCTTCCTCACTCAAACTACTAGCAACTCTGAGAAGGAGACCAGCTGGGAATGATTCACTGCAAGACAAGACAAGCTGTCGAGAGATGTTGAACTCTGGCCCAGGATCACTCAGGAAATGAGGGGTACAATGGGGACTATCTCATACCCAGACTATGTGCTTTTAGATTATTCCACAGACTTAAGTTAATTTGGCACATATTTGAGGAAAACCAGAAGTGTTATCTCCAGTACAATCATTAGGCTTATGTGAAAACAATCTGCATAAATGAAAATAATTAGCAGTGTAAGTGTGCTGTCTGAGGGTGCATTTCTGGATGCTCCGGAGAGGTGTGATTCCTCAGAGAGAGAGAGAAAGAAAGGATGAATGACAGAAACGGGGAAGGCTTGTTCCCCCACCCACCCCAATTCAGTGGGATGATGTGGCTGATGAGTAGCTTCAAAAGAATGGATATGTTGCTGTACTGGATTTTCTATAGTCCTGGGGATCAAATATAGGGCCTTGTACATGCCAGGCAAGCACTCTATCACCGAGCTATGACTCAGTCAATTAAACACCTTCTTCTTTACACACACACACACACACACACACACACACACACACACACACACCACATGGGGGGGTATCAAGCTGGCCTCAAACTCACAGAAATCCACCTGCCTCTGCCTCTAGAGTACTGGAATTAAACATGTAAGCTACCCACATCTGGCTTTTTAAATTTTTTGGAAATAGTCTCTAGCTCTGGCTGGCCTGGAATTTGTTATACACTGAAGAATGACCTTGAATGATGGGCATGGTGGCTGCATCAGCACTGGGGAGGCAGAGGTGGTTGCATCTCCGAGTTTTGGCCAGCCTTGTGTACATAGAGAATTCCAGGCTAGCTAGGGCTACAGAGTCAAAACACATAAATAAATAGATTAAATAAATAGAGAAAAGGAAAGAAAGAAAAAGATAAAGAAAAAAAAAGAATGACCTTGAACTCCTGATCTTTCTGCCTCTACCTCCTGAGGCCTGGAATACAAGCTCCTCGTCCAGTTTATCCAGGGTTAGGGAACAATTGAACCCAAGGCTTTGTGCATGCCAGGCAAGCACTCTACCTATCAGATTCCATCCCCAGACCCTAAGGGGCTTTTGAGGGTACAACAAAATCCTCAGCAGATGCCAAAGTGTGACTCCTACAGAGCTATGGTCCCACAGGGCAGCTGGGGCAGTGGACAAGGGACTTTACATATGGGAACAAAAGAGATAGGACCAAACACAGCCACTGCCTGATCCTTGACAGGCCACCACGATTGTCTTCTAACTCTGCGGGTCCCTTCGTACGCAGAGCACAGAGAGTAGGAGGGACCCCGACTGTACTTCCAGCACAGTGCTGAGCTGCTGTCCCCAGCAAGGTCTCGAGAACCGATCCTCTGGCCAGGAAGATAGTACGGACCTGTCTGTAACCCTGGAGTCAGAGGCCGGAGGATGGGAGCTCAAGGCCAGCATGGACGACTTAGGGAGACCCTGTCTCAGTTAGCAAATGAAGAGAGCAAGCTTGAACACCGGCGTGTGGGTCCCCAAAACCCATATAAATGCCAGCTGGGCATGGTGCGCCACCTCTAATTCCAGCTTGGAAAGCAGAGACAGGGAATCTCAGAGAAAGCGAACTAGCAAGATTAGCCATATACATCAGTGAGCTCTGAGGCTGATTGAGAGACCCTGACCATTGAATAAGATGGAAGCCATTGAGGATAGCTTCCACATGCATATACAACCCCCGACAAGTGCTGTGCTTGTATACATGCAAACAAACATATACATACACATGCATGTATGCATGTAACTAAAATTAAAATAAAATGACAAAAAGCAAAAAGAGGGTAGGAGGGTATAGCTTGATGATAGAGTGCTTGCCCAGTATGTGTGAGGCCCTGACTCCTGAGATGGAGGTAAGGGACTTGTTCGCTTGAGGTAGGGATTAGAAGCGTCTGCAGACCTTCACTGTGACTGTGGGCACCAGTGGGGCCACATGATCCAGGATCTTAAACTTGCTTTATTCCCTCACTTGTGGTAGGTTTTAAGATAATGGGATGGCTGTGTTGGTGGCATGGTGGTGGCCACAGCCGCCTTTACAACAGTAGAGTGAAAGTGGCCGTCCCAGCCGCTGTCATTCCAAGTCCATTTTAATTAATAATATTGCAGACGAGGTGACCATCTGAGGAAGCTTAACACTGGCATTAAGAACCAAACCAGGTATGGTGAATGCCTTTAATCCTAGCACTTGGGAGGCAGAAGCGGATGGATCCCTGTGAGTTTGGGGCTAGCCTGGTCTACATAATGAGTTCCAGGACAGCCAGGGCTACATAGAAGAGAAGAATCAACCAGGGAGCTAGGGAGATGGCTCAGGGCGTAAGGATGCTCAGTTACACTCACCTCCAGTCCTCGCCTTGTTGGGGATGGAGACAGGAAGCTCCTGGGCCTTTGCTGGCTGACAGGCTAGCTCCAGGTTCAGTGAGAAACCCTGTCTCAAGAGAGGGTGATAGAAGAGGAAACTCAAGGACCTTTTCGGGCTACCGTGAGCTCACACAGGCATGTGTGCACACATGTTCAAATACACGACACACACATGCCCACAGGAAATAAAACCAAAGCCAATTAACTTTTGGAAGAACAAAGCCGAGATTATGGGTGAACGTGGTTCAAAAAGTCAACTAACCCCGGGCGCCTAACTCTGCACACACAAAAGATCTCTGTATCAACCCTTTGTCTTTTTTTTTTTTTTTTTTTTTAATGCCAACTCGGGGTTTTTTACTCCATTTAAATATCTGCAGTGCTACATCTGAAAAAAAAATGAAAGCAGTAACTTTTAGGAAGGGGAAGAGAGAATATTTGCAATGCAAAATTTAAAAAAATCAATCAATCAATCAAACAAACAAACAAAAAACACCCATACCCACTGGATTCTATCAGTGAGGATGCTTCTTCTGTCTTAGTGGATGTATTGAATATGGACACAAGCCAAGAACTTTACCACTGATGCACTGCCCACAGCTGCAGGGGCATCCTGCTCGACGGCTATACTTTACACTGCCAGTCTACACAGTACCTCCTAACATACGCCCAATACATCTCCTCTCTCCTCTCCCTCTGAATCAGGGTCTCGCTCTGTAGATGTATCCAACCTTCTTATTAAATAAGAAACACAGAACCAATGCAAAGAAGAAAGCCAAGAGGTCAGAGCTAAGAGCTAAAACCTTACCCTTCCTCCTGCGGTGGTCCTACCTCTCCGAACCAGAGCTACCCCTGTGTTAAAGTCTTTATATAGAGTTCCTGTCCTGCCTTCTCATTGGTTGTAAACCCAACCACATGACCGCCTCCTCACAGCCTGTCTGTATAGGCCTCCAGGTTTTCCATGATTGGTATTAAGATTAAAGGCAGCCGGGCGGTGGTGGCGCACGCCTTTAATCCCAGCACTCGGGAGGCAGAGGCAGGTGGATCTCTGTGAGTTCGAGGCCAGCCTGGACTACAGAGCAAGATCCAGGAAAAGGTGCAAAGCTACACAGAGAAACCCTGTCTCAAAAAACCAAAAAAAAAAAAAAAAAAAAAAAAAAAAAAAAAAAAAAAAAAAAGATTAAAGGCATGTGTATCCAATAATGGCTGTATCCCTGAACACACAGAGACTTACCCAGCTCTGCCTACCAAGTGCTGGAATTACAAGCGTACGCTACCACTGCCCTGCTTTCCTATGGCTTGCTAATAGCTCTGACCCCCGGGCAACTTTATTTATTAACATACAAATAACATTTTAATACAAATAAAATATCACCATATCGCTCTGTAGCCCAGCTTGGCTTCTGACTCTCAGTCCTCCAACCTCGGCCTCCCAAAAGCTGGGATTACAGGTGTGTAAACCTACGCCCAGCTCATAAGCCCAATTTCATGAATGAGATGAATGACCAAAGCCAAGAAGGTTAATTTCTACCTCCAGATTCACAAAGCTAGTGACAGAGATGGGAAGGAGAGATGTGACAGGTCCCTGAGCCTAAAGCCATGTCTAGACTGGGATGCTAAGACATCAAGGAGTTCCAAGGTTCCCTGTAGGAGGAGAGAACTGAGCTGTACCAGGTGCATAGGTACCCGCGTGGTGCCACCTCCCAGGCTTCCACTAAAGCAGCGGTCCTGCAGATGTGCTGAACTCTTGAGCCTGCAGCCTGAGCTGTACTGTCTGAGAAGAGTGGGTCTTGAGGCCACCACAGGCTGCAGGGCAGTGGTCTAACTCTTCCATCTGTCCTTCTGGCATTTGTTACTGTGTGTCATGCAAAACCACCTCCAGCCTCAGCCTCCTTCATATTTCTCAAATACACTAGATGCAGGGCCTCTGCACATGCTGGCCCTTCTGTCTACAAAGCTCCCGCCTTCCTCTCTGTCAGACTCATCCTCAGTGACTTCCCGCACATAGCGACCGTCTGATGAAGAAGTGGATGAGTCCACCTGCCTATTTTCTTGTGTATCCGCCTGATCTCCTGAAGTCAAAGGTCACATGTCCTCTAACAGTGGCCTCTTTTTTACCTGACATCCGGCTACACCTTCTAGGTCAGTTGCCAGTCACCAGGGTAGTTCAGTATAACAACAGGGTGCCATATTACTGGGAGGCACTGCCTGGATGCTATGAGGAGACAATTCGGGGACTTGTCTAGGTTTAGCATTATTAGTAATGTGTACCAAGGGTTCAGGGTGAGAAGCAAAAAACCATTCTGTGGCTGCCAAGCCTGGTAGTCAGGGACCCTTGAGACTTGGAAGAAGGTAGATTGACAGAGCAAGGCAATGCCCACTGGTCCTCAGGCTGGAGTTGCTCAGGAGAATGGTCACTAACATTCAGCACTCTTGCCAACAGGTCCTGGGGTACCAGATGATCCTGTCCCCAAACAGCCCAGACGAACCTTCAAGGTTGGTATTCAAATGCACGCACCTCCCTCTCTTCCCTAGAATAGCCATGCTGGCCATTACTGTGGAGTACAAGGAGCAGCCATTTGTCAATGAGTTCTCTCAGAACTGCAGACGGAGGCAGAACTGGCTGTACACAACCTAATACTGTACCACTTTGTCCCTGGATGTGACATTTTATACAAGAGGCCCAGTCATGTCTAGATTCATGAGCCCAAGCATGGATTGTAAAGAAGGCCACAGGTCTCTGCAGAGTCCTGCTCCTGTAGCCTCCCAGACATGGAGCTGGGGGAGGTATGGCAGCATGCATTGTATAGGTGCAGGATGGTCATCTAAGGTTAGGTAGCTAGATATTGGGGGGCTTAGTGACCACTGAGGACGAACCCCTCCTTCCTGTTTCCCTGGTAATAATACAAATGGAAACATTTAATTGCCTCCTTAAGAGTTAAAATGCCAAATAAAGGGGTGGAGGACCCTTGGCTTTGTTGAGGCTCCTTAAGGGAAAGCTAATTCCCTGGTCAAAAGAATAGAACAGAAGTTCCACCTCTGGCTGGGGGCGGAGCTCTGACATCCTAAGTTGCTCCGAAACATTACATACTCTTGTCTCCTCCTTTCAAGAGTTAATCCAATGAGGCCTATCAACCACCTTGCTGGAAGTCTACCCTTCCCCCCAACCCCCACCCCACCCCACACACACCCAGGAAACCGGATTCTACCGAAGACATGCTAAGAAGATGGGAGAAATAACTATCCCCTTGATGAGATGATGCACTTGTCCTTCTGGGAAGCACCTTCCTCCACAGCTTCTTACACACCTCTGAGCGCAGCACTCACTACAGAGCCTGCTCTGAGAAGCCTCTTCTTCCCGAGCACTTTTTCTTTGGGATGCTGGCTAAGGACCAACCCTGCTCTCTCTGCAGCCTGCCTGCCGCTCCAGCCCTCCCGCTGGCCACCTCCATTGCAAAAGGCACGGGTTTTTCTTCTGCTCTCCCACCTCCCTCCGCCTGCACTTGCCTGCTCTGTTGTTTTCCTTCACATTCTAGTAAAACTGTCCTCTGCCTTCTGAGTCCGTTCTTAAATTCATTTATTAATGACACTAAGAAACCAAAAGGGCCTGGGGGGGGGTGGGGGTGGCGGCGGCGGCGGCGGCGGCGGCGGCGGCGCACACCTTTAATCCCAGCACTCGGGAGGCAGAGCCAGGTGGATCTCTGTGAGTTCGAGGCCAGCCTGGTCTACAGAGTGAGATCCAGGACAGGCACTAAAACTACACAGAGAAACCCTGTCTCAAACAAAACAAAACAAAAACAAAAACAAAAACAAAAACAGCCGGGTGGTGGTGGTGCACGCCTTTAATCCCAGCACTCGGGAGGCAGAGGCAGGCGGATCTCTGTGAGTTCGAGGCCGGCCTGGTCTACAGCGCGAGATCCAGGAAAGGCGCAAAGCTACACAGAGAAACCCTGTCTCGAAAAAACAAAAACAAAAACAAAACAAAAAACAAAAAAATCCAAAAGGGAAACCTTTAACACTGGCCTGGGAGAGGGGGCACCCGGACTTTGCCCCTGCTGCTCTGGGAAGGGGCAGGGAATGCTAAGGAACAATAAAGCAGTGTGCTAGGGCTAGGCAGAGCTCCACCCTGCAGGGGCACTCACACTTACTGGGGAACTGGGGGTGGAGGCTGAACAGCCCCCTGCTCCAACATTACAACATTAATCTACACGCACGAAGCTGAGGCAGGAAGATGCCTTGAGCTCAAGACCAGCTTAGGCTATTAGGCTACATGGTAATAGTTTGTCTTACACACACACACACACACACACACACACACACACACACACACATACCATCTAAAGACTAAACCTCATACAGAGCACAGCTTTAGTGACCCAAGCATTTTTTTCAATCCCTAATAAAATCCTCAGTACAGTTCTGGAGGTAGAGGCAGAGCCCCACCTGTGAATTGGAAAGAGGACCTGGGAGTCACCGACTTTTCGACTTTCGCTCCTAGGTTGGTCAACACAGGGCCACTAGAGACTTTCTCACGCCCAAGACAGATCAAAGATGAAAAACAAAATTACCCCAAGCAAAACTCCCCCAAAGGAATCTTTTCTCTCCAGAGATGATGATATCAAAGGACATTTTGTTACTTCTTGGAAATTCTTCTCCTTCTCAGGGCAGCACAACCCAGCAGTTTTCTGTAATTATCACTAAAGTATTCGGCCTAGTGCCTGCCTCCTTCGCACACTTAAACACAGACAGGAACATCAGCTCAGTGGTTACCTGAGCTCCGTGGCGAACAGGTGCGCAGCCTCTGGGCCCCTGTAGCCCTGGCCTTGGCTTCCAAACTCTGGCAACGTCTCCAAAAGCCCCCAATCTGTGCGATCACAGGGGGGAGCAGCCCCGCTCTGAACAAGCCCAGACAAGCCCAGGCACAAGCCCTGCTCATTCCTCCTCTGGGCACCACGAGCGCCTCTCCAGCCCGGCGTCACAGGAGTTGGGGGTCGCTCCAGATGGTTGGTGCGGCCACATCTCCGTCACCTGGAAAGAGAAAGGGAAGCAAAGTGAGCAAAAGGCAGAGATCGCCGGGACGGTGCCAGCAGGTTCCCCAGGCAGGCACCCCGGGGCGCCGGGGTCACGCTGGCCTGTGCGCTGGCCAGGCCCGGGGAGAGGTGGCCGGGGCACCGCAGAGGGACGAGGCAGTCGGGCTGGGGTCACACTGCGCGAGTTGCAGACACTGGGTCCCGAGCCTCCGCCTCCTCTCTGCCGGGGTTGGCTCTTCCCTAGCGAGAGCTCAGAGTTTGCGCAGCGCCCCTCGCCTCAGCTCGCTGCCCAGTCCCAGGGCGTGCCACCCTATGGCCGATATCAGTGTGCACCCGGGCCATCACGATCCTTCCGGGGTCCCTTCGCCTCTCTGCGATGAGACCGAAGCCCGAGTGGGCCTATAATAAGCAAACAGAAACCACGAGGACACTCGCCCAGCCTGCGGGGTAGCTCTCCGGGAAGGGGGCAGAAGAGTCCCACGTCTATGTCACTAAGCATGGAAGCGTCCTCTCTGAGAACATGCCAGCTCCGAATGTTCGGATGTCCTCCGCAGCCCCAGATTCTAATGCTTGGAACAGGCACCCTGCTGTGGCCACTGCCCGTTCTGCCCCCACTCACCGTGCCCCCAGTTCTGGCACCGCTAAGACGCTGGGGTAACCCTCACTCACGTCTTAACAAGGCAAGCTGGTCCCAGGAGTGAGGGAGACGCACCGGGTGCATGGCGCTCTTGAGCTGGGAGCGCAGGGCAAGATACCACGAGTACTAACTCAGACTGAAGTACAGAGCAGGGAGGAGTCTGGGCAGCAGGCCAGGCACGCGCCTCCCATTTCTCACGGTTTCTTCTCTATCCAGTGCCTATGGCGCAGGACCCCCCTTGAAGTTGGTAGAGAGGCACAGTGTGGACAGCCCTGAAGCCTGCCCTGCCCTGTGGAAAGGGGAACTCCACCTCTCATCCTGTCCCCAGCCATTATGTATCCCAGGGTCAGGATGCTCCAGAGACAAACTGCACTTGGGTCCATTGTGCCCAGGTACTAAAGTCACAGGCTCACGGTGACTCCTGTTGTAAAACCTCTGCCTTGGGTGGTTACATGGCAGAAATCCCTTCGGCAGCAACAGGTCCTCCTTGCAGACCTACACCCATGCACACTACCTCCAGCTCTCCACACACTTGCAGACCTACACCCATGCACACTACCTCCAGCTCTCCACACACTTGCAGACCTACACCCATGCACACTACCTCCAGCTCTCCACACACTTGCAGACCTACACCCATGCACACTACCTCCAGCTCTCCACACACTTGCAGACCTACACCCATGCACACTACCTCCAGCTCTCCACACACTTGCAGACTTACACCCATGCACACTACCTCCAGCTCTCCACACACCTGGAATTCACACTTCAGCTGGGCTCTGTGAGCACAAAAGGGCACAGCCTCTGTGAGACTGAAGCTGTCCCCATTACCAAAGAAAAGCTCTCTGAAGCGAGGGGGAGAGACCCCATTCCTCCTACATGGGAGGAAAAGGGTTCTGGGGAAGAGGGAGGCAAACACTGCCCGGGCAGACAAGAACCACATGTGGGAAGTGACCACTCGAGCTGTCCCCATTTCACAGAAGAGGCTACTGAGCTCATTGGGATGAGAGTGTGTATTCTATTTTCCCAGGCTTCTAGTATCTGGGAGATCTCAAGAGACCTAGAGTGAGCCCAGAAACTCCTGACAAATGCCAGGCACAGGTGGATGGCTGCCGAGCAGGCCCAGACATTGCAGGGGTGGTAGGAATTACCCTCATTCTCACCTCCTGTGAAGGTCTTCAGGGTCCCTGGAAAAGGAGGCTGGTGGCCACAGAGGCAGCACTCAGCAAGGCGTTTGTTTTTTAAGACAGTCTCTCTATGGAACCCTGGCTAGCCTGGAACTCACTATGTAGACCAGGTTGACTTCAAATGCACAGAGATCTGCCTGCCTCTTGAGTGCTGAGATTAAATGGGTGTTCCATCACACGAAGCTAGGGCAAGGTTTTGTGGACAGGCAAAGTAGGTTCCCCTTCTGACTCACTGTGCGACCTTTGGCACTAATGAGTTCACACACACACACACACACACACACACACACACACACACACACACACTCACCCCTTTCCTCATGTGGGCTCTTGTAGCACTAGGCATCATCTTAACTTCCCCCGGAAGCGGGGAGGAGTTTGGTCAGCTTTTCAAAGAATCTTTTGAGATGACCCCTGGTCCTTTCTAATTTACAGGTGAGGACCAGAAAGCAAAATTTGCCCTTGTCACAGTGAGGGAGACCATGAATGACTACATGAGCCCTACCCTGGGAACGGGGTGGGGGGGGGCGGGGGGTCACAAGGACTGCAGTAGTTGCTAACACACAGCAGACATCCCCATGTATCTACCCGCTCATAGTGAGCCTCTGGGGAGCACCTACTATGTCACGGGCTTGAAGAACACCCTTCATTCTGTTCTCCACAGGGACAGACCCACAGGAGCACTCATATCTGGGTGCTCCATCCCCACTGGCTCTTCTGTACCCTACTTTTCTCTGAGAACTACCAAAATGCCTTGATGTGGGTAGGCAGCTAACAGTCAGATAGACACACTGTATAGATACTAGATTCCACCCAGAGAAAACTAAGAAAGCCCAATTCCTAATCACTTTTCCATCCTTGGAGGCTGCATCAATCGAGGTCCCTTTTTCTTCTTAATAACGTCACTATAAAAATAAGATTTTTTTCCCTTATGGTGGGAAGCAAACCCAGGGCCTTGTTCCTGCCAAGAAGCAGATCCTCAGCTCTTGGTTTTGTTTGTTTTTGTTTTTGTTTTTGAGGCTATATGACACAGGCTAGCCTTTAATTCATGGTTCTCCTGCCTCAGCTCCCTGCATGCTGGATTGACAGGGATGTGCTTTGGTAGCTGGCTAAGGACTGTTTTAGGGAGGCCTCTCTGACAGACAGGCTCAGTCCCTACTTCTCCTCAGCTTTTGTTGTAGAACCTTACAATAATCATCCACACTCGGAGCTGCACACCTGGCCTCCAGGTTACGCAGGAGGTCTCTAGAGAGAGGGAAATTCACAGAAGCATGATCAATGTCAGCTGAGCCCCCAGGAACACCAGCCCATGTCCCCAGACACAGCTGTCATATGGTGCTCCAGGAAACCTTGGTATCTCCTGTGTGATCACCGATGCCAGAAGTAGTTATGGCTACTGGTCCCTTTTCTCTCTAACTTGATCTATAGAGTGCCCCAGGTGTTTCTGCATCTAAGTCATCCAGGAAACCAAGGAGCACTGATCTCCTGCACAGATACTGTGTATGAAAGGGACAATTTTCAAAGGAGTTGGAAAATGTTCTAGAATAAAGAACAGCGATGATTGTATGATATGGTGGTTTGAATGTGATATTCCCCATAGTCTGGAGCATTTGAATGCTTGGTCCCCAGTTAGTAGCGTTGTTTGGGAGGATGCACACATCTGTAACCCTAGTGTTCCTACGGTGAGATGGGAGGTGGGGACAGGAGAATCCAAGCAAGTTCTTGGGCCAATAGCAAAAACAAGAGGCTCTTGGGAGGCAGAGGCAGGCGGATCTCTGTGAGTTCGAGGCCAGCCTGGGCTACCAAGTGAGTTCCAGGAAAAGGCGCAAAGCTACACAGAGAAACCCTGTCTCGAAAAACCAAAAAAAAAAAAAAAAAAAAAAAAATTCTATATAACACTTTCATTAAAACAAAACAAAACAAACAAACAAACAAAAAAAAAAACAAGAGGCCATGTCTCAAACAAGGTGGAAGGTGAGGACCTGAGGTTGTCCTCTGATCTCTACACCTGTGCTGTGGTGTGCACACAGCAGCACACACATACACGCTTACACCCCCCCACACACACACTCACATGCACAAAGATTGAAAACGAATAAGAAAAGGGACCTTAGCAGTAGTGCACTTGTCCAGCATCAGAGGCCCCATACTCTTTCCCCAGCATCAAAAAGGGAAAGGGGGCCAGGCAGTGGTGGCACACACCTTTTTTTAAATTTTTTTTTTAATGTGCATTGGTATTTTGCCTGCATGTCTGTGTGAGGGTGCTGAATCCCCTAGAACTGGAGTTATAGACAGTTGTGAGCTGCCATGTGGGTGCTGGGAATTGAACCCGGGTCCTCTGGAAGAGCAGTCAGTGCTCTTAACCGCTGAGCATCTCTCCAGCCCTGGCACCCACCTTTAATCCCAGCACTCAGGAGGCAGAGGCAGCTGGATCTCTGTGAGTTCAAGGCTAGCCTGGTCTACAAAGTGATTTCCAGCCCAGTCAGAGCTACATAGTGAAACCCTGTCTCAAAAAACCAAAAAGGTGCTGGGGGGGAGGGTGACAAAGCCATTTTTCAAATTATTTCTTCCCAACCCGGCCGGTTCCCTAAAAGTCTACCCACTCCCCTAGCCTAGAAGCTGTCATTTGTTGGTAGGTGACAAGAAATCAGGCATCTTATGGCTGCAGCTGATCTGAGGCCCCGAGTCAAGAGACCTGGGCAACCGGTTTCTTCCCCTCCCTCCGACAGGACTCCAGGGATACTGCCCCAAACTAGACCCTGCAGAAGAACAGTGGTTTGGGAAAGGGGCTTTCTTCACTACTGCCTCCAATCTGAGTGATGTTGGATGTGGAGACACACAGGACAGTGCACGTACTGTGTTTGCGTTTGTGTGCACACATGTGTACGTGTGGCATAGGGAGAGGTGCTCCAAGGAGCCTACAGAGCACACATAGACCCATGGCTTCATCAAGCACAGTCTCCGGGCTTTGTCTCCAATATCAAAGCCATCTTGACTTGGCTTGGCAAACAGATCACACCAGATTAAAAACCAAAACCAGCTGGCACACTGTGCCAACTTCAGTGATGTTCATTGTATGCCCAGAACTGTCATTGGGCACCTGAACTCCAGCAGCCTGAAGGTCCTGCCAATTTGCCAGCTCCTAAAGCTGCCCTGTGGCTCCTGAGTCAG